TTTTCCACTTTAGCTATTTCTATGTTAAAGTATTTGCTGGAATACTACTTCCACCCAAAAAATGAAGTTACATTTTACCTCTGGACACCCTTAGGAATCCTAACACAAAGTGAATCGGTAACACAAAGACGTTGTCTGGGGGCAAGACTTGCATGCTGGAGGTCAAAGTTTTGCTTTAAGCAAACATACATAGGTTTATCTGAAGTTACACATTCTATTTATATTAAGTTCAATGACCCTTCACCCCTGTTAGGAATCAGGTAACCTGTTTCAAAGATTTTCAAACAGCTAAATTGTAAAACAAATATGTAATTACAGTGTAATGATTTTTTGTTTCTTTTTCAGGTTTGTGGTGTCAAAATGGTTTCTCAGTTGTGCTTGATTGATGGTTTTGATGTTGTAAGGGGCATGCCTATTGATTACATGCATGGTGTTCTTGGTATTGTTAAAATGTTTTTTTTTCATTTTGGTTTGATAACAAATATAAGAAAAAACCATATTACATTGGGACCAAGATCTTTGATGTACATGAAAGTCTTCAGCAATGCAAACCAGTGGACTTTATCCCAAGATTGCCAAGAAGCCTTATTAAAGATAGAAAATACTGGAAAGGTAGTTATAGTTGCTTTAGCCAAATCGACATCCTTTAGTATTGTGAGATGCTCATTTTCCTTTCCCTGTGATGGTTTGCTATGTTCCAGGTTTAATCCAATATTTGACTCATATGGTGCATTATCTTTCGATTCCTTCTTTGTTTGCTTTGAACATTTATCTTGAAATAGCTTTCTTCTTTTGATTTTGAATTCTGGTTTTGCCTTATGCTTGTCTTGTTTTGTTTTTTTTTTATCTAGATTTGTGTGATAGATGTTACAATAATAACCTGGTGCTGTTCCAAGTGACTCTAAGATTTTACTGATGTATTGGTGACCTTCATTTCTCTGAGCAACAGCACACGCAACACGAAAATTGCTACTCTCACTGCCACCATAGTATCTAATTTTTGGATTTTTTTTAGCCAATTGTTTCATTTAGTGACTCACTTCCTTGTGAATTCAAGCATGGTGCTAATTGCAAGTCTTTACCATATGGCAATTTGTGATGTGTATAACCGATAGGATCTTGAAGGAATCTACACCATGTTGGGTTACAGTCAGAATGGGCACCAAAAGCATGTGGGATTATGGTTTTTACTTCTTTCGATAATTGTACTGGGTTGTCCTTATTTTGATTTATACAATGTAAAAAGCACTTTTGGAGATAATTGATCACCTTCTGAGATAATACTGAACAATTTGGAAACTTCATTCTCTGGCTAACGTTGTATAGTTTGGTACCAAGTGATCGTTTAATATATATGATGTCGGAAAACTTCTGTAACTCGTATGGAGGTTGTTGTTTTACTAACTCAGAAAGTGTTGTACTATCATCATCCCCAACATAACTTGAATATTTCACTTTGGTTTGTGGAGCATCCTTAAACAGCTGGCAAGCAACATCAGTTTCCATGTACTTGAAAGATCCTTTATAATTTAATCAGCAGTCGTGTACGGTTGGAGGTTTGGATGTTCTCTTGCTGTGTTCACAAGTGCGGCATTCTTTATTCCTGGTGACAAACCCCAGCACTTTTCCAGAGTTTAAGCTCATTACTGCTCCATGGCCAGTCGATTAATTAAATGCACAACCGCACTTCTGCCAGCCCATGTCGTATGAACAGGTAATGTCAACCAGGCTATCAGTATCCTCAATGTTCCCATTTTCTAGTGTAGGAGTCCGTTCTGCATGTGTAGCATCACAACAACTGTCTTGCAACTTTCTCAACACCCCTGCCAATTTCCCTCTCTCGTCGTTTAAATATACCCCGACTAAGTGGTGATATTTCAGAACAATCCTCATATATATATATAAGCCTGATACAAACCTTAACAAAAGTCCATGCCGCACAACCATATTTAGATTGTAAATCTGATTGGTCCACGAGACAAAAGATATTTTAATTTGTCATTTGATTGGTTGGTGCTAATTAGATTATACTATTGTTGTTGATATATTTTATAATAGTGCACACAACTTTTTTAAATTTAAATTTCTCCTGTGACATTTTGATTGGATACTAAGTATAAACTTTGCTGTGGGTGGGAAGCGATCGGATTAAGGCTTGTGTCAGGCTATATTTTTAAAATAGAGCCTGATCTCAGGTTACTCCATATGGGAAGTACTGATATTGACCCATATAATCAAAAAAGTTGTATGTATATCCACATGTAATTGGTGAACATACAAAGTCTTTGAAGCGGAAAGCTCGAGAAGAATGGCTTTGTTTACTTTGAAGAACAAGAAAAATGACACCTGAGTTGAAACTAGAATTGAAACTAACAATATATACATATGTGAGCTGCATTTCAAACAAGAATGCATTTAAACCGGTACATATATTATGTGGAAACGCACTCATATTTTACGATTGTTTATCTTTGATGTCTGCCATTATGTTAACATACTAAGCGTATGCTTTAATCATCATTCAGTATACTGAACGAAGGAAAATTTGAATATTTCAGGAATAAGAAAAACTTTGATTACTGGGAGCGTCCCTGTGGAACAATTACCAGAAAAAGTCATGAACTTGCCAAATGTGAGCACTGAACTCTTGTAAAGAAGAATGTTGACATTTCTGAGCAAGGGAATTTTGAATGATGGTGCCTCGTCCAACCAAAAGGTTTTTTGTTAACACCAAATATTTATGCACCGTCACAATTCATTTTCTTGTTCACAGATTTTCTCCACATTTATTATTGAAGACCGCAAGGAACTGTCTTTACAACTCTGGTTCTGGAAGTCAAAGTCGCCTCATGTGGAATGATGGGAAGTATGTGCTATTCCGACATATAGCAGAGTTCTGTTCCACAGTAACCAAGAATTTGCACTACACACCCTACCCAAGCTGACCTTGGAGCATATTGTTTTGTAGCATATAGCAAGGTGAAAGTCAAGCGTGCAGTCCAGGTACTGAGTAAGTCAGTTACCATTGGTCTTAGAGAAAGCAGTGATGAAGATGTTAGTAGTACAGCCGAATTCTGTGAAATGATGGATTTTTTCACTGTACCAATGTGAGGTAATTGACTGAGCATACCAGAAAAAAATCCATTCATCATGCCATATTCCTATCCTAACGACTATCGTTTGACGTGGTTGAAAGAAGTTTTCCTCACCTACATCAACAACTGGAAAGAGAGTACTCGCCTGTGAAGGCAGGGAATTTTATCTCTGCTCAAACCTATGAAGGCTTAAAGATCACTGTGTACTCTCACATAGAGGCAATCACATTTCTGTTGTCGGAGGTATTTCAGTAAGTGCTTACTGAAAGAGGTTTATGCAAGATGTCCTTGAAGACTATTTTGGACACCAAAGAGAGAGAGGGAGAAGATTCTTCAAATTCACACCCAAATCTCCCGTCTTTGTTCCTCACCCTTTCCTCATCTTAATATTAGATTTTTTGTCCAACTTTACTTTGTCTCAGCTCTTCACCTTTAAGGACAAAATTCCTAAGGCTTTAAGCTCTTGTGTTGTGTATTCTTTCATGTGTCATTGCTGTTCCGCAATGTACTCAAACCCTCTCTCAACTTACAAGGCAGTTCGGTCCCTCTACTTCTACTCTGATCCATTCCTCTTTCTACTTTTGTGATATAATATCTTGTAAATAGTTGTAAATTATTCATATTTCTGTGTTTTCCGCTTTGTATGTCATTGCTCTGAAGATGTCCTTAGTTAAAAACGAAAGTTAGCTTTCTAATAAATATTTTAAACTATATTTTTGTTATGGCTCTTTTACATATTTTCTGCTGGGCATTAATATTTATCTCAAGATTACAATTTCCACCTGGTTCATCTATCGCTAGTATTGTGCTGAATATAGATCTTAGAAGTACTTAATATGTCACACAGTTTTCAAAACACATAAGCATTATGGGCCCGAGGGCTTCTAAGGTCCGTTGCAACTGGTGATGTAACATTACTGCAACAGAGCCTATTTCCACAATTCCACCAGCAAATTCTCATGTAGATCCAAATAGCTTATTTACATTATCAAAATTTGTGTGATCAAAGTCTTGTGATTAAAAGTTTGATCAAATAACTTCAAAGCTACTGCGATCTTTGAAAGAAGTTTACATTGTCAACCTCTATGTCCAAAGTATACTTTTATCACAGAAACTTTGCTAATGTATAAAACAGGCAATCTGTCCTAAAAAAATCCAACTTGTATGAAGGTGCTCTTATCTTATAATTTAGTGTTTATCAGCACAAAATAAATCAAATGTCATATGCCATCGAGGACAAGGCTAACATGAAGATGAGTACATGGAGTTTCTTTGATTGTGCTATAAGTAAGAGAGTAAATTGTTGATTTGATTGCAGTATTATTTAGTAAATATTTAACTTGTTAATGTAAATACTTTAGTTTGATATTCACTTTATATCACTATGTCCTAATGTCTATAAGTTATATGTCTTGATGACTTATAATTCGTTTTCAAGTCTTTTCTAAGGGACTTTTCTAGACTTTGTTTTACTTTTATTTTATATTTGCTTATGTAATCTCTTGCACAAGAAAATGACGCACCCACAAATATAACTTTATGATATTTTCTAATAGCAATTTCTGGGTAGAACATGACTGCTCTACCTTAGAGACGAGGACAATATTATCCCACAATGACTTGACAAGCGGAGAGTTTAATCTTGAAACACATCGGGTCTGTAGGAATATTTCTCATATTGCCTCTGTCAACATGTGTTCTAAAAGGAATCTCCGCTTCTTCTAGAATGCCAAGCAAACCCTGTCAAGGGGCTACAAGGCCTCCTTGGCTATGCGCATAGATAAAACTTTTTGTGCACTCAGTTGCTTTTAAAGAATGCACCAATGTCTGCAATTCTTCACTGCATGTATCCTTTTCGTTTCTTGATTTTTTATGCATCTTTGAAATGATATATCCTGCAATATTAGATAGTGGGCCATTTTCGGAGGGATTAGTTCGATAGTTTTGCTTTCTGCCTCTGGTTGTGTACGATTATTTCTTGCTTCTTTCTGAGAGTTAGCAATCTTGACATATCCAACTAAGCGGTCCAGAACTTCAATCATGATCAAATTGGCAACATTTCCATCTGTGCAGTGTAAAAATGTGGTCAGATTTATGGGCAATAAACCATAAAAGTCTTCTAGCATTTTGTCCTGATTTTTCTTCCGACAAAACTTATTGCGAAACAGCATCGTACAAAGCTTTACTTGAGGAAACCTCTTTGAGAGCAGTGTTTATGTCAGGTCCAGATAAATCATCTTTGTAGGTTTTGTTTTTATTGCTTCGACAATAGAAGTTAGGCTCTCTTCAGACAAGCGTGTTTCCTGTTCGAGTGACTTTGCTGCTGTGTTATTGATATCGCCAGTACAATGTTTCAAGTTTGTGTGTCTTGTTAATCCTCAGTAGATGAAACCCCCCATCTGGCGTAATTTTCCCGCCATATGACGTCAGCATTTTGAGGATCCAGCATAATTTTCATGCCATATGACGTTAGCATTTTTAGGGATAAGTGTGACGTCATTTTTGGAATATTGATATTGCATCAGCATGTATTTGTCACATAACATTTGTCACGTAACGTTTATTGTAAAAAATATGATCCTTGTAAAGGGCTACAATACCAGTTCGAACGGGATTTTGTAGATTCCGTATGCTGTATGTATAAATTGAGGTCTTCAAGAGTACAAGAACGTAATGTTTACACAGCTTTCACAAAGCGAACTTTGAAAGACTTGCTTTGTTAAATTGTTCACACAGAAAACTTTACTGACGTTTTGCGAGTGGTTTTCCTTTGTATAAGGCCTTGCTGCTTTCAACTTTTAAATGTATGTTGTTTAAACAAACTTTATATGTAAACTTTTTGCATGTGAATTAACAACTTAGGCAAACATTTATAGCACTGTGCTGAATATTTGATTTTTGTTTATAGATATTGACAGATAGAACTGGTCAGAACTGGCAGAATATTTAACATTGTTCCTTTGTATTTCAACATTAAAAGGTATGTGAATTTAGGCAAACAGTTTTGTTTACAGCTTTCATAAATAGAGCATTTTGCGAGAAGTTTTGCTTTAAAAGAGTTGATTTATCATGAAATTATTGCAAGTGGTTGCCATAGCAACTTAGATTTTTAGATGATTTTTTTGAAACAATAAGACGATTTATACCTTTTTACTACATAGTTACTAAAACATGGAACGACCCACAATGACCCCACAACGACCCACAACGACCCACTACGATCCACTACGACCCCGCAACGCGTAGTTACTAAAACATGGAACGACCCACAACAACCCACTACTAATTTGTGAACTTGTGGATCGTTGTGGCTGGTTTTTTGGTCGTTGTGGGTCGTAGTGGGGTCGTAGTGGGGTCGTTGTGGGTCGTTCCATGTTTTAGTAACTACGCTTTTTACTATAAAAGTTTCAGTTCTATACAGAGTTCTATAGTTTGTTAAAAGTAAATTTCTTCATGACTTATTGCATGTCATAGAAAGGAAATAAACAAAAGTATTTTTTATTTAGACATGATTTGGCAGTTAAAATTGCCGAGTGTCAGACAATAGTTGAATTATCAACCTTGGAAAGGTTATATATGTTGAATGAAGTGGAACAATGCCTTCTTTTCGAGAGGTAATTGGAAATTTTTGATCAAATAACTCAATGGAGAGTAGAAAATTAGCAGCTAGGGCTTACAGCTGACTTTACAGACACTTGGACACCGGAACAATGTGAAAGATTCATGTGTGAATGGCAAAACAATGACCCTCTGTTACAAATGGGCCATGGCGAGAAAAGATACATAGACGAAGTGAATGACAGTGCAACTGACAAGGTTAGCGATAACGTTTTTACCATGACAAATTTTATATTAAACAAGTTAAAGTGAAAAATTCAGCAGGACAGGTGTGGATTATACAGTACAATTCATGACATGTTTGCTCATTTTGAGCTTTCACGATTGTCTCCATGGAATATTTGAAAGTTTAGTGAATGCCATCACACAAAATCTTCCAGATCATCAGACCTGTCAACTCTCCCAGTGCTGCCGGGAGACTCCCTGTATCAAGGTATTTTCTCCCGGTTGCTGGTTTTAATTCTTATGACGTAATGGAATATTTTCCAGATTCAAATATCTGGCAAGAAATAGTAATCATGTGAAAATCACTCATGTCCTAGCTCTGAAACTTACTCCATGAACTACAAGTGTTTGGCTTTTTTATCCACTTTCGCACTATAAGTGATAAGTAGATTGTTGTAAGGATTTTGAGATGTTACATCTCAAAAACTAGTTGCATTCCTGTCATGTTAGCACTACATTAAATTAAACAAGTTGTTGAAGTGAAAGCAATTATAATTGATTATAAAGCCGGGAAAATGATTAGAATTTTTTACTGTTTTGAACACTGCATATGACTTTATTTTTACTCTTCCAGTTTTTGATAAAATCTCAAAAAGCGAAATCTCCCTGTTTTAAAATTTTAAGGTTGACAGGTCTGGAGCATGTTCAAGTACGTTTTGTGTTGCATTCACCTCAGCTTCAAACTCCATTTCTCTCACTTTCATGGCTCTTTCTCATTTGACAACAGAGCGGGTTTTAGCTTAAATTGAGCATGTCATTCAATCCAACCATGAATTTCGTCTAAACGACAGTGTCAAAGTGAATCTGGTTCATGTTGAAATGCCCAATGGCGGTACTGGAACAAAACATTCTAAAATAAATTTGGAAAAGTATTTGGCCAAAAAAGGCTCAATCATATGGATTCAAAACAAGGACGAATCGTGTCTAGCTCAAGCACTGGTTGTTTCGATTGCCAGAATTGAAAATGACAGTCGGTATAAAAGTATAGTCGATCATCGCAATTCATTGCAAAAGTAAAAGTGTTTAGCTCATGCAAAGCAGGTGTTCCTATAGGTTCTTGAGGTATAGATGAAGTCAAACAATTCCAAGTGTATTTGACCGATTATCAAATCATCATTGTTTCGAAAGAGCATCAAAATTCTGTCATTTTTCCCGGTCCTGATAAAGAGAGAAAGATCTATTTGTTTTGGCATGACTATCATGTCGATGTGATTACAAGCATGCCGGCTTTTGTTGCTCTAAAGTATTGCCATACTTGTAAAATATACCTATATGATCATGTGAAAAATCATTTAGGCGGAGATACATGTAAACTGTGCCATTTTCAAAACTGTCCTGTTGTTTTGTGGACTGCATGTCAGTGATTGCAACCTTTTTTAAAAGTCAGGAATGTTTCGACAGGCACATACAAAATGTAGGAAATGCAAATCTATCTGTTTTTCTACTGCCAAATGTTCTCATTGTAATCTTGTTTTTGATCGGACTCGACTGAGGCCTGATTTGCATCACTGCAGACTGAAATGTTGCTCGACCTGTGAAAAATATATGGGCATCGAAGATCAGCAGTTCTACATGCAACCTGTCAAGGAAAAAGCAACATGCGAAACCAATATGTGTGATGACGAAGTGGATGAGGACGTCCATGAAAGCGGATACAATGAACTACTGCTCTTCGATTTCGAGTGTATTCAAGAGAATGGTACTCACGAAGGCTACGATGGTTATTTCATCCAACAATACCTGCATGAGAATGGTGTTATTCCTGAAGTCATTATGTGTGGTGCCAAGATCCTTACGATGTATGTAGCTATTCCCAAAACCTTTGGTTTGAACGAGTCTGCAAAAGGATATTTCCCTCACCTTATGTTGGACCCCTACCACCAAGTCCTTATTACCATCCCAGTGGAATGAGTCCAGCAGACAAAGAGACATTTTTGAGATGGCATCATGAATTGAAAGAGAACAATTACGTGTTCAATTTCCAAGAAGAAATATCAAGTTACTGTCGATCGGATGTGGATATCCTTCGACGTTGTTGCCTTGAATTTTGAGAGTTGTTCCATGACGTCACAGACATCGACCTGTTTGAGAAATGCCTAACCATTGTGTCAGCATGCAAACTTGTGTTTTGAACAAATTTCCTTAAAGAAAACACCATTGCCATCCTACCTCCTCACGGTTATCATCCAGGAATCCAACATCGCGTTGAAATGGTTATCTTACACAGCCGACGTGTACATTCAACATAAGCAGAATGGTGGAGAGAAGACTATTGGTCGATATTCCCTGGATGGCTATGATGACACACATACGGCATATGAATTCCATGGTTGTTTCTGGCATGGCAAGTTTTTTCAGATTTTCGCTAGTCATTTTGGTACAGTACCTTAATAATTAAATGTTCTTTACAGGGTGTTTGAAATGTTATGCAAGGGACACCATCAACAAGGTCAGTGAAAAGACCATGCATGATCTCCATCAAGCCACCATGGAGAAGATCCAATGCCTTAAAGATTGTGGCCTCCATGTCGTGGAAATGTGGGAGTGCGACACAAAGAATTGGAACACGATGAAGACATGAAACAGTACTTTGAGGAACCATGACATGCCAAGCCCCATGTACCCATTCTGAGCGTGAAAGAGCTATCCAAGGGAACCTGGTGCATACAGAATTAGAGAAAGCCCTGGAGAAAAGTTACCATATCCTCCAAATGCATGAAGTGTGGCATTTTCCCGAAACCTCTGACGAGCAGTTCAAAGATTATGTGGACACTTTCCTCAAAATCAAGCAAGAATCCAGTGATTATCCCAAGAATTGTACCACCGAGGAACAGAAACAACAGTACGTTGACGAATATTTGGCAGTCAAAGGAATACACTTAGATGGAGAGAACATCAAACACAATCCTGGGATGTGTGTTGTCCAAACTGATGCTGAATTCGTTTTGGGGTATGTATTTTTTAAGGCAGCATGGTAAACTTTTACAGGCACTTGTATTAGTTTTCCCCTTAGAAAAATTTGTGCAACGATCCAATATGACCAAGGTGGAATTGATTAAAGATCCACAAGTATATTCTGACCCTTTGTCTAGATCAAAATTTTAGTTATAAGGGGAAAGGTCCATTGGTATCCACTGTTTCAAATCGGTGAAAAGTGTGATGAATTATAATCGAGTTATCTTTTGGTTCTAAAATAAGATTTTATAGTAAGCAAAAAGTGCATGTATATGTAAAACTGTAAATTCTCACACTGGGTTGCCATTTGTTCTGCCACTGCAAGCGGGGCAGTGCCTTTATTATTTACCTTCAAAAAATATCTGTTTATAAAGAACATGATTACTAACAAGTCCCGGATAACAGTTCAGTTCATAATCTAAACAAAAACTATATATATAACTAAAAAAACACTGGTATCCACCAATCTGGGCGGGTGGGTGGGTAACTGCATACAATGTGCAAAAAACTAAAATATGCCAAAGTCACTTGTCACATGACTTTATACAACTTGTGCAACTCAGACAGTGAGAAACTCAAAATGGCATTCTTTACCACTTTTGTTACAATGTTATGTATAATAAAAGTTACTTATACTAAAAGTAATCACAAAGTAAAGTGCTGCCTCAGGCCAGTTACTGATGAGTTGCGGCATATGTTACAAGACTTAATTTGTTTGAGCCTTAATTTTAGGAGCGCATTTAGAGACAAAATGGGATACTTATCTTCTCTATTACATTAATTATTTCAGTTGATTGCTCGCTTGAATAAATATGGTATGTGCCTTGAACCGAACATGAAATACCCAATTCTTGATGACATTGGACAGAAGTTTATTGACCGTGCTGCAGAGTTGGTGAAGTCTGGCCATACGTTTGTGTATGTGCTGGACAATATCGATTGGGAGGAGAAGGCACATGATATGAGACAGGACGTGCAAAACAGAAGTGTTCATGCTGTGGCAACAAGTACTGTGTTTAACTGTGTTTCTGATGAGGGGTTGCCCGATTCTGGTCCACAGCAAGATCTGAAGGATTGCAATGTCCATCAGTTGATGGATATCAATCCACTGGAATTGGATGCAATTTGAATCCGGTATAGAATACTTGTTGCCAAGCTTTTGTTTGAACATTTCCCTTGTTTTGCAATGTTCAAACCGTACATCTCTGGGAACACTAATTGTGCTCATGCTGAGGAAATGGCAAGAAAGTCGGAAGTTATGACAATGCCTGTTGTAATGAAAGACGAAAAGGAATATGCAGACATTGTGGAAGTTCTGGACCAGCTTGAAAAGTGGACGCATGAGATCTATACAGCTGCTGGGATGTGTTCTTCAGATCCTGAATCTAGTGATGACACCACCAACCCCACTGTTGGAACCACATCAAGACCAGACCAACCTGGCTCACATGTCCCACCTGCTGCTTCTGAAAGTGCAACACAAGCTGCACACAGAATTGCATGGTGTAACTAATTGTCTTACAATCATGAAGTGTACCTGTCATGTTCTAGGGGGAGTTACTATTTTTAGACTTTTGTAATTTTGTATTCTTTTGTATTTTAAACTCAACCTCAATCTCCTACTCTAATCCTGGCCCTAATCTTAATCCAAACCCTAAAAGTCTAAAAATAGTAACTCCTAAAACGTGACTCGCATGTGAACATATGTTCACAGAGTAAGCGGTCATAAAAAAGGGTTCAGCCACTGGAAAAGAATGGGCATGAATGGTGGGCCATGCCAAAGTTTCAAGAGAGCACAATAAATTTCACTCACACCCTTGCCTGATTAAAATTAAATTGTCCCTTGGTGTTGTTACCAATTGCAATAATAGTTATTCTACTGATTTTTCAATTTGTTTAGACTATTCAAAAAACGTTATAAGAACTCAGGATGAGAGAAAGGAACCCTACGCTTTTTCAGGGAAAAGCTGAATAGAAGAAATGTCACAGCTGATGTCAAACACTATGAGGACTGTGAGCAACTGTTCTTCAGTGTTGGTAAGTGTTTTGTTATCGAATCTCTGCTTGAATTCTTCCAGATGGATGATACAAAACACAAACCAACAGCAAACAGTCCTCATAGTGTTCATGTCTTGAAAGAGGACTACCGGAAAACCTATGTATTGGAAGTTATCGACAAATTCCTTGACGAGTATGTTTTTGTTGGTGGAGATGAGGTGTCAGACGGTGTTTGGTGCTATGGAGTCAACCTCATGAAGTGTTTCATGTTGCTGGCTGACTTTAAGGATGCTGTTTCCACTGGCAATGGTGAGCACTTACTGATCCTCAGGAAACAGCTGCTAGACCATTTCTTTTCAACACCCGGGTTCAATGAGTTTGCCATTGAAATGTTTATAAACATTTCACTTTCTAACACTTTCTAACAGGACCAAATGTATGTGCTTTTGTTGCTAAATGGAAAATAATATAGCAATATATTAATCCACCTGATCTTAAAGTATATAAATATTTTGTTTTACATAGTACTGTCCTAGCCTGTGTTCCAGTCCACTATGTGTTTGCTAGTGGACTGGAAAACAGGCTAGTAAAACCATGCCATTGAGATAGTCGTTTCAATCACTGAGCTATACTTAATATATCTGGAGATCGTGCTCCAATACCTCATCAGTAAAAAATGTGTGACCAAGAACATGGCGGATTTTGGCCAAATTTACATCATTTTGACATCACAATCGACCCAAATTTATGGTGAATACCACTGACCTTAAATACTAAAAAGTGAAGAAAAAAGTTATTCACACACCGCTTTCAATTTGCTTAAAGCATGAGGAGGTAAATTCGAAATTTTGGTCAGAAATTTTAAAGCGAGACATTTGCAACCATGCCAACTTTTTGTTCAATTCCTGGTTGCCAAAAATCTACTGAAAGAAAGGACCTGTCCTCACATGGGTAAGGCTTGTATAATCTCATTTTTTGTAATAATTTAACGCATGCTGTATTGAATGCGTAAATTTGTAAATTCATGAAATTTAATGGCAAGCAACATACAATACAATTTATGTTAGTGAATCCTTGTATTTGACATTTTGTAACATGGCTATTTATTGGTGTATTTGTCTTTATTGTGGACTAAACCATGCGTTGTTTAGTGTGGCATTGTTTATATTGTAAGTTATATGTATCGTATTTATAAAGTTCTTAGGTGTTATAATTGACCAAAATTTGACTTCAGCTCAGTTCACATCAGCTCAGTTCTCCAAAGCGTTATGAAATCTACAGGTCTGATTGCAAAATTAAGACATTTTACAAATAGAAACACCTTAAAATTAATTTACTATGCATTAGCTTTTCCATACCTCACATACAGAAATCTAGTTTGGGGAAATACATATCCCACAAGATTGCATGCAAAAGTTAATGAATGTCCAAAAGAAAATTGTTTGATTGATTTTATTCAAATCTTATACGGATCACTCCGAACCATTATTTTTAGACTTGAAAATTCTAAATATCTACAAAATTAATGACTATTTATGTAGTATATTCATGTATCGTTTTAATTATTGTCAAAATTTACTAGACTTCTATAGTAATTACTTTAAGCAAAAAATGAATTTCACAGCTATAATACACGTAATTCCACCAAGTTACATGTTAGCTACAAAAGAACGAATTACCACAAATATACTGTCTTCAACAAAGGCGTCTCTCTATGGAATAGTATTAATGAAGATATATACAAGTTAAAAATATTAAAACCGTCCAAACGTTTCTCCGATTAAGGCTTCTTCAGTGGACTAATTGTTCGAGTAATATTAGGTTCCTTATATACCTAATCACTGACAAATGTTAAAATTAATTATGACTATGAATATTCAAATCTATAACAATAAAAAAAACTATGGTTCTATACACATGCTTATTTACCTATTGTTATATGCGAACGTTATACATTAATTACTCTCCCAATGCAACCATTCATTATCTCCCCTGAATGTTTTTGAATTTCGATGGCCTCAATACATTTACGTTCATCATTGTATCTAATGTTCTTGTGAATGATTCTCCAAGTAATGTCTTCCTGATTTGGTTTGTCCTTTTTACTCTTGTGACTCATTATATGTTTAAACACTGTTTGTTTATCCATTGATAAATGTTCTTTTATACGCGAGCCAATGGTCCTCCCGGTTTCTCCAATACACAAATTTCCGCAATGTGAACAATGAATTTTGTATACCACATTCTTCTTCAAGCATTGATTAGATTTCTTAGCACTTTTACAGGTCTCGCATTTGTTGGGACAATTCATTTGTCCTTTGGGAGCTGAAAACACTTGAGACAATGGTTTACCATTCACAAAACAAGCTTTTACGTTGTCAATCCCCGAGTGTCGTATAACAGATGTTGCTCGTCTTTTATAATCTTCATTTATGTATTTCGAAACATTAATTTGTTTATGTTTGACTAGTGATAGTGTATTGATTGGCGGTGAGAGTTACAAGCAAAAATCAGGCCTCGCTATGGGTAATAACCTAGCACCATCTTTGGCGATAATCTACATGAATGAACTTGACTCGTTAATTGTGAGTAAAGCCGAAGGCCAGGTTATCCTCAAAAGATATATGGATGATTATTTTGCATTTTTGTTATTTGCTTGTTTATCGGCGCAGAGTTTGCTAACGACGGCCAATAGCTTAAATGACAAAATCAAATTTACTCTTGAAACACCTTGTCATAACGAACTACCCTTCTTGGATACGCTCGTTTCGTTTGACCCCGAATCCAAAGCATTTTCCACCAAGCTTTACATTAAACCTATACACAGCCAATCAATTATGCCATGGGATAGTCACGGCTCTATTTCCTCCAAACGAGCAATTCTAATCGGTGAAACCAAAAGAGCCATAGCATGCTCGACAGATTCTCGGGGTGTTAAAGAATCTCTTAAGTAAAGTGAAGGAAATTTTCTTTGCTAATGGATATCCTAAAAAGTTTGTTGATAGCGTTATAAAGAATACCAAGAATAACAGACAACGCAAACAAACTGAAATCGACTCAGATAAGCTCATCTACGTAAAATTACCATACATAAATTAAGATTATAAAAGACGAGCAACATCTGTTATATGACACTCGGGGATTGACAACGTAAAAGCTTGTTTTGTGAATGGTAAACCATTGTCTCAAGTGTTTTCAGCTCCCAAAGGACAAATGAAATTGTCCCAACAAATGCGAGACCTGTAAAAGTGCTAAGAAATCTAATCAATGCTTGAAGAAGAATGTGGTATACAAAATTCATTGTTCACATTGCGGAAATTTGTATATTGGAGAAACCGGGAGGACCATTGGCTCGCGTATAAAAGAACATTTATCAATGGATAAACAAACAGTGTTTAAACATATAATGAGTCACAAAGAGTAAAAAGGACAAACCAAATCAGGAAGACATTACTTGGAGAATCATTCACAAGAACATTAGATACAATGATGAACGTAAATGTATTGAGGCCATCAAAATTCAAAAACATTCAGGGGAGATAATGAATGGTTACATTGAAGGAAGGTTGCAGGGATCCAGCCAAGAATCGGGTGGCATGTGCCCCCGGAAAATTTTTTAAATTTGAGGCCCGGAAACACCATTTCCTGCATTCTGAGCATGCCTCTTCGATACATTTCGGTGGGTTCATATGCATTTTACCGTGGACGAGTTACTGACAGCATGTTTAGCCCTCCTCCTTTTTCATCCGGGCTTGGGACCAGCAATGGCGGAGTTAAAAGTAAGCACTTCCATGATCCAACAGTAATAATAGGGGAAATCCACTCTCAAAACAGCAGCTCAAGGAAGTTGAAACGGGTTCATCTTGGAACAGCAGCATCAAATCATTCACTTCTAAATCGTCTTGAAATAGCAGCAAGAATCAGGTTAGTAGAAAATGTTCACTGTAAATAATCTTGGAACAGCAGCAGGAAAGGACAAAAATGTTCACTGTAAATCAACTTGAAACAGCCGCACGAAGGTAGGAAAATCTTCACTGTAAATCTTCAACCAACATTGTCAGCATGTATTTTAGGGGAAATGCTCACTTCACTTAAAAATAACCCTAACTGCAATTATTCTCTGTAAATAATCAGCGAAACAGCGGTACGAAGAAGGAAAATGTTCACTGCAAATAATTTTGAAACAGCAGCAGAAAGGAAGTTAATAAATGTTCACTGTAAATCATCTTGAAACAGCAGCACGAAGGAAGTTAGGTAAATGTTCACTGTAAATTATCTTGAAACAGCAACACAAAGGAAAATGTTCACTGTAAATCATCTTGAAACAGCAGCACGAAGGACGTTAAGTAAATGTTCACTGTAAATCATCTTGAAACAGCAGCACAAAGGAAGTTAAGTAAATGTTCACTGTAAATCATCTTGAAACAGCAGCACGAAGGAAGGAAAATGTTCACTGTAAATAATCTTGAAACAGCAGCAAAAAGGAAGTTAATAAATGTTCACTGTAAATCATCTTGAAACAGCAGCAAAAAGGAAGTTAAGTAAATGTTCACTGTCAATCATCTTGAAACAGCAGCACGAAGGAAGGAAAATGTTCACTGTAAATCATCTTGAAACAGCAGCACGAAGGAAGGAAAATGTTCACTGTAAATAATCTTGAAACAGCAGCAAAAAGGAAGTTAATAAATGTTCACTGTAAATCATCTTGAAACAGCAGCAAAAAGGAAGTTAAGTAAATGTTCACTGTCAATCATCTTGAAACAGCAGCACGAAGGAAGGAAAATGTCCACTGTAAATCATCTTGAAACAGCAGCACGAAGGACGTTAAGTAAATGTTCACTGTAAATCATCTTGAAACAGCAGCACGAAGGAAGGAAAATGTTCAGTGTAAATTATCTTGAAACAGCAACACGAAGGAAGGGAAATGTTCACTGTAAATCATCTTGAAACAGCAGCACAAAGGAAGTTAAGTAAATGTTCACTGTAAATCATCTTGAAACAGCACCACGAAGGAAGGAAAATGTTCAGTGTAAATTATCTTGAAACAGCAACACAAAGGAAAATGTTCACTGTAAATCATCTTGAAACAGCAGCACGAAGGAAGTTAAGTAAATGTTCACTGTAAATCATCTTGAAACAGCAGCATGAAGGAAGTTAAGTAAATGTTCACTGTAAATCATCTTGAAACA